CGAGGCGATGCGGTACTGTCTGGACGGGCTATTGTATAATTCACTGCATGTGACACCGCTTCGTTTTTTTCTGTGCTGTTTGGGTTGGGTTGTCGCGGTACTTTGAGATCGACCGGAGCAGGTTCGATGCGGCGTAGCTTGCTGGTTACCCGCTTCTACCGCAGCTTTCTCGGGGGGGGGGGGGACCACCGTTGTAAACACATACCGTGGTCGTTAGACCATTGACCGCGGATCCCTACAACGCCGGAACGGAGTGTTATACAGGGTTTTCGCCAGTCCTGACCATGTTTTGCAAGGAAGCTGATCGTCATTCTTCCACGGCGGGCGTTGTTGCTGAGAGTATGATAGATACCACCCTATCCTTCCGAGGACAGTATAAAAGGGGGAGGGAGGGAGGGAGAGTATCGGTATATATATATTTATGCGAGTGTATTTTGTGCCGTAAAACACGGACGGTATACAAGTGTCAGCCAGTCACCATTGGGCCTCATTCCGGGCAATATTTTGCTACTAGTGTGGCGAGGCAAGTCCTACATTATGTGCTCCTTTTGCATGGTATTCGGTCTGCCCCCTCAGTCTTGATACTCGAGGGATTTTCACCATCCACGGCCTTGTTCCCTGTAAACGGTCGTTCTCCACCATTCGTAGGAGTCCGTTCCAGTGTCCCTGTGCTCTATCTATCGCTCCTTCGCTTGTGAAGCAACTCTGTCATCCCATTTTTGGGTGTGCGCTTAGCCCACACTCAGCCCTGCGGTTGCCCACCTCCAATTAGGCACCGCTGAACGCCGCACCACGCCTTTCCTTCGAGTGGCATGTGCTCTATCCGTCACTATTTTACGTATGAAACAACTCTACCTTTCCATTTGCCGGTGCGCGCGTACCACGCAGTGATCACTGCGGCTGTCCGCCTCTCCAAGTAGGCACCGCTGAAACACGCCCACCCTTCGAGTGACCTCCCTCTTTTCCAATCCCGCCGCACTCCGTCCCTGGCAGACGGGTGTCGGCCATCCCTAGCCGCGCCCGCTACTCGGTAGGGCCGTCGCGGTTCTCGCTGCCCCCGAACATGTCCCCCGGGCCGCCGAACGCCGCCTGCGCAGACGGAACAAATAACAATCCGGAGAACGGTCCGGAGATATCGCCGCGGCACAGATGGGAGGGGCTGACGCTGACGCATCCCCTGACGGGAGACGAGAAAAACCTGGTGAGGTTTCGGTGGGCATGTGGGCGATGAGGGTGGGTGTCAGGGTATGTGTGGGTGGCGAAAGACTTGGAGACAAAATGAGGCAGTTTGGGAAGCAATCGAGAGTGTGTCGGCTTCGGGGCGTGGCGGTTTCGTTCGGTTTGTGGGTGCCAGGGTATGCAACGTATGACCGGCGAAAGACTTGAGAAAATTAAGGTTATCGAGGCTGTCTGGGAAGCAAAATCGAGAAGTGCATTGGCTGCTGAGGGTGGCATTTTCGTTTTGTTGGGGTTGTGGCCGTCTGTGAAAATCGAATGGGTGAGTGAGATGAGTTGGTTCGCCGAATGTCGACGCGCCAGGCAAGGAGATGGTTACCAGCAATATCGGTGTATAGAGTTCATTGGACACCAAGTAGCGTGGCGATTACGAAAAAAAACGAGCAACCAAGAGTGTAGGAAACGAAAAAGGGGCTATTTTGTGTCTGCAGCTGGGATTATGGTTCCGAATTGTAGCAAAAAAAAAAAAAAGGATGATGGCCAGCTTCTGGTTGAAACGTAAACTGGGCCGGCGAAAACCCGGCGTATCGCTCCATCGTAAGGGTGCGAAGTCGTCAGTGTTATAACGACTACGGCACGCGTTTATCATGAGTACCCACTTCTATCCCACCCCGCAACCTGTCAGACGTTCATGGAGTTCGCGGTTGTTGGCGTTAGCCTCTCGACTCTGGCTGGAACCCAACCCCTCGAGCCGTGGGGACAAGCCCCGGAAGTCCTGTCGGGGTTTCCGGTGACGGAGGGGGATGACGCTTCGGGGCGAGGGAAAGGGGACGGAAGTTTCGTGCAGGGGCTGGGGGAGTTCTGCTTCCCGTGCGGCGCTAATATTGCTCTCGTCAGGGGCAGAGGGGTGAGATTGTATCATTGGGTCTGTAGTTTCTTCGACCAAAGGCTGATGAGAGCTGACCGAAAACTTTGGGCGGTGGCACAAATGCGACTTCCATGCGTGCTTCAATGGTCCTCAGCCCAAAGGTACATCTCAGTAGAGTGACTGAGTAGCCCTATCGGCGAAGACTTCAGGCGCTCCAGTACGGCAGCGGTTGCTTGTAGGTGCCAGCAGGATGCTGGGTGTTTTCGCCACTGCTATCTGACACGCGAAAATGAAGATTCCATCCCCTAGCCTGCGCCGGCAAATACCCGGCATATCGCTCCGTCCCGGCATCGTAGGGGTGCGAGGCCAATGGCCTAACAACTATCTACGGCACGCGTTTTCATGGGTACCCCTTCCCCCCCTTTGTTGCTGGGACGATATCGATGTCACAGGGAACAGGGACACGGGAGGCCGTTCCCGAAGACAGGATGCACCTGCTGCAGTTCACGGACTGCGACAACGCCTCGACCTACGGCTGTTGCCTAACCGTCACCCACGTCTTGCAGGTGAGGATATGTGTGGCGCTTATTCTGATCATCCTTTTGTTGTCTACTCGATGCTCATCCCCCCCTTCGAAGGGGAATGTGGTCTTAGCCTCCAAGTGAATGTGGTCTTTGGCTCCACGAGTTGTTGTGGTCTTACACTGCACGAGAGAACGTGGGCTTGAACATCAGGAGCGCGCAAGTGGTCTTTACCGCCAAAGATTGTGCCCGTGTGGTGCTATTATAATTGCTGTCACACGTACAATTATCCGATGCGAGACCCCCTCTGGAGGAAATGTGTTCTTGACCTCCAAGAGCGAATGCGGTCTTCGCCTCCAACTGCTGTGCAGCCTGGTGCTGCTGTTGATTTTTGTCTCACTGTATTTTATGCTTCGCTCTTGATGTGGTGATGTCCCGCTGCGGTGACACAGGACCCCCCACCCCGTCTGGTCCTACGCCTCCAAGAGAGAGAAATAATGCACCAGGCGGCCAGGACACTGCAGAGGTATGGACATGCATCGAAGAGGGCACTGTAGCCTGCAGAATGTTGGCATGATGGAAGCATTCAGTGGCATCAGAGTACTCGGCAGCAGATGGACATGTTCAAGAGCTGGGAACAGATCGAGGCACACATCTGATTGGTTGTTTGCTTCCCCGGCATACTTCAATGCCGATGACATTGCGCCTACCAATCAACGCAGCATCCAAACACACAGCATCTACATCTACCCGCCCCCCTTCAGGTTCTTCACGCTGTCGGCGGCGTGTCTCTCCACGGGCAAGGGTCACCATTGGCGAGGCGATAGCACCGGCTACGGCTGCCCGACGCCGGCGCGGACGCCCGGAGAAGAAGGAGGTTCTTTTTCTCGGTTCGGGTTCCAGACGCCGCCGCCCCGCGCCGCCACCGGTGCCGGTTCCGCCGCATCCGAGCAAGGCAACAGTCCCGCCTCGTCCTTCTCCGGGATGATCAACCGCTTCTTCAGCAACCCAGGGGTGGTGGCGGATGGTGGAAGCGGTGTTGCTGCCGCGGCGGGAGGCTTGAGTGTCGGCGCGGCGGCAGCGGATGCTGAGACGGCGTTGAGCGGTGTTGCTGCTGTGGGCGCGGCGGTGGCGGATGCCAGCGATACGGGGCCGGGGGGTGATGGCGATAGTTCGCCACCGCGATCGGTGAGGGAAGAAGGAACGTCCCCGCGAAAGAAGCGTTCGGTTGCGGCGGTAGCGGTATCGCCGTCGAGGCCGTCGCCGCCGCCGTCGCCGCCGGCAGCATTGTCACCGTCACGGCTGATGCAGCGTGCGCCGTCCTCGCCTTGCCCCCGAACCTCCCCCTCCGGCGAGTACTGCCACCACCCCACGGGCATGAGCGGGAGGTCGAGGAGCGCTGGCCATGGCGGCGGCGGAGGGGGTAACGTGGCCGGCCGCGAGAGGAAGGACGGGACTGTCAAGAAGAACGTTCCAGGAATGTTTTCCGATGACGAGAGCGAGAGCGATGCCGGGTACAGTAGCACCGACGGAGGAGACTCCTTGGCCGGCGGGATCTTCGAAGCCGCCAGTTTTTCGGGGTCCCAGGCGGCAAACGGTACCCGCCGGGGTGGCCAGTCCGGTGGTGTGCGGGGGTACGCAAAAGGTAGTCGTCCGGAGATGCCCGGAGCGGAGAGGTCCTCGGGAACGCCAATGACACCAAGAATGCCTCCGGGAGTGACCTTGAGAAACCGTACGGTAAACCCGCGTACCGTGGCGGCGGCGGCGGCGGTGATTGGCGGGGCGACCAAGGGCAGAGAGGCCTCGACGGGTAGAGAGAGATTGAGTTGGTCGGTGCAGGTGGAGAAGTGCTACGTCATGGTCAGCTCCCACCGCAACCACCCCCTCATGTTCAAGGTGCTAATCCAGCGCGTATGGGACTCACATGCATAGATGTGCTCACAAGGGTTGCGGTAAAGGTACACACTCCTCAGCAACCCACATGTTTAGATGCTTTCGTGAGCGTTGTTATCAAGGGAAGTAAATGATTCGTCAGGAGCAAAACGTGCACATGTGTTCGTAAGGGTTGCTTTCGTTTCTCGAGTTCTGGATGGACAGGAGGAACTATTTAGGATGTAAACGTATGTGTGATTGGATCTTATAATATGGAAGGTTTAGGTCGAACGAGATGACACTTTGGCCCGTCTTGCCGTTTTTCATTCATGCGATACGTTAACGTTTTCCAAACGGCTTACCATGCAAAGATCGTGTGTGGTTAGTCACCTTTGACATCGAGGTTGAACGCGGCGGCTACGAATGCCCTCCCGGGCCCACCCAGCTCAGCCAGTGAGAAATGACGCACAGGATTGGCAGGTCACACTTCTGAGCGACTCAAGGCTTGGTGCAAGGCATGGCTTCAACTCCCTGCTTCATCGACAAAACCCCGTCTTTCTCTCGCACGACTCCCCCTGCTTTCAGTATAGGCGTAGACCCCTTAGCCAACCACTCGAATCGCCTTTCGTTCGCCTTCCGTCCGTATGACGACCCGATCCCCGGTCGTACACACGCCTTTTATCCTTTTGACGACCCAATTTTCCCGGCCACACGCACGCGCGCTGCAGGTGCTAAACGCCATCGCGGACGCGGAACGCTCCGCCCGCCCGGGTCCCCATCCCCCCTCGTCGTCGTTGTCGCCTCCGGCGCACCACACGGCGGCGGGGGGCAGGCGGAGGGCAGTGATTGCGTCCCTGTCGCCCCCTCGAGTCCGATCCGGCGGTGTTGTCGGTGTGAACAGAAGTGGCGGGGGTAAGGAGAAGTCGCCCTCGGCAAGCAGGTTTCGGTCTGTCGCGGCAGCGGCAGCGGAGCAGGCAAAGGTACGGAGGCGTGTCTCTCGTGCGGGGGGGGGGGG